TCCTTCAAAGAGTTTGAAGAGAAATTTGCAGCTTTTCAAAAGATCAAGATTCTAGGCTTGGATACTATTCTAACGTGTACTGTAGACTCTCTTCTCACTTTTTTTTCAGTACTTTTGTTCTCTTCTTTTACTAGGACCTAGACTTGACCGTAGCCTAGATGCATCCAGATCTAGATCTAGAAGGAAGAAAAATCGGAAAGGTTTTCCTCCTGTCCTGTACCGTGGTCTCCAAAATCCGTATTAGATCAAGATCTACATGTACGTCTAGATCTAAATTACGACTGAATAACAAGCAAGCATAGAATGATCACTCCTTTCTTTAAAAAATATGTCTTCCACTCACACCATAATCTACTTTAGTTTAGTTAGATCTAGAATCTAGATCTACATTAGATATTATAGTCTAGTATTTAGTAACCCATCATCATCTTGCCCATGTAGATCAATGTGGGAACAATAGATCTAATGGGCCTGTACGTCTGTTCTCAGTGACACTGGGAGGGGAAAAAATCATGGCCTAGGCGTATTGCCAGTGCTTTCTGGGCCTATTCCCAGTATTACTGGGAATAGTTTCTGGGCCTATCCCCAGTGTCACTGGGAATAATGCTTTCCACAAAATGGTATAGGTTTAACCAGATAACTTTTGCGCTGAACTGTGTTGGTTGTTGGTAAGTAATACCCTATCTATTTCTAGACAACCCACTCTCAGAAAGTCAGAGAGGGAGAGAGAGAGGGGGGGGGGTTGGAGATGGACGGACAGATCGAGAGAGAGAGAGATAAAGAGAGATATATAACCACCCCAAACCTCTTCGACCAAATAAAAAAAAGAAAAACAACAAACAAACAAACAGCAAAAACAAGATCAAAGCACAGAGAGACTGGCCGGGGGTCAACAGTGGTCAATGCCTGACAGCTGACCGTGTCCAGTTGGCTGGAGTCTGGAGTTGTTGGGGCGGGAGGGGGGTTTGGGGCGGGGTGAGAGTTCCCTCCGACGGACTATCGCTTCTGCTCGCTTTAGAGTAGGTGTATAAATAGCACCTAGTAGCAGTGGGCCATGCAATTTTTTATACAGTTCTTTGTCTTTGGCAACTTTGCGCGACTTTGTCTGACTTTGTGGCAATGGGTTAGTCTTAGAGAGCGTTTTACGGCACTTGCAACACAAAAAAGTCATAATAATATACGAGCCAAAGACGAGAAGTATTGCAAGAGGGAAAAAACATAAAAACAAGAAGGAGAGATAAGGACCATAGATATGTTTGATAGGAAAGAAGGAGCCAACCAAACAAGAGCACCCACCAATCACCTGCATGATATTCATTTATTTTATTCTTTTTTTTAAACTAAAGTGAAGAACGTAGACAAAATAACGGCCATATAACGTAAGTCAGAAAGTTATGACAGAAACAACAGAGGAAAAGAAAAGAAGTCGGACCTATCAGCCAGACACACCCTCCAACCACCTGCACTGCAATTATAAAATCGCAGGCGAAGTGAACAGTTATTAACCCTATCCGTACGCCCTGGGGTTATTTTGTACCACCCGCGGTTGTATTCTTCACATTTTAGAATACTTTCAGTGCGAAGACCACTTTGAATCTTTCAGTATTTCTTTTAAAAATTCATTTTGAGAGACTGCGTACGAATCGGATTAACGAGTAAATTTCCTCTTTGGAAAGTGTTGGTACAGAGTTCCCCACTTCGTATGGATACGATAGTAAAACACGACGTACGGATAGGGTTAAAGTATTAGTTTAGGATCATTAATGTAAGTTGTTGCAGATGGTTGGAGAGCGCCAGGGGAAACTATCAGTAGTATCAGAGCCGCGCACTTTATTTGGACAGTATCAATACAATTGGACTGCCGATTCCATTCAACATTTACAGTATCCTTGACAAAATTGCTGAGTACTACATGTATTTCCAGAAAAGTCAGTCACGAAAACTACTTTCCAATTAAGTCAATTGACAAAGTGGGTGAGGTGTGTTCGTTTTATAGGCCCTACCATATAAAAATATAGCAGGTTTTCAAATCTCCGACATTTTTACGTCTTTGTATTAAAAATCATTTTGAAGGATTTTTTTTTTCTTTCATTGAGCCTAAACAGGCAGTACAGCGAGTGTGCCAAACCTAGCCATTGCTCAGAAAAGTGGTGAGTCGTGAGACGAAGACAGAAGAAATGTTTATCAGCAGTGTCATTGATAAATGCTGGTCTTCTGCATGATTTAAAATATGAGACTGCTTTAGATGCTGTCTTAATGAGTTCATGCAATGGAAAGCGGTGTACCCACAGAAACCAACACGCAGACAGACAAGACACAAACAGATGGACAGACTTACGCCATCCTGCATCCCTGAAACATGCCTGTCGTGACAAAAGAGGGACAGACAAGGGTGGTGTGCACACCGTCATGACCAGAGAAGTGTATCTCATAGTTGAGGGTCTGGGTAAAACCCAAAGGGAACTAAAATTGTTGGATGGTAATCGGCAATCTAATTGAAGCAATATCGTCAAAAAGTGCGCACCTCCGATAGTTTTTCTTAAAAAGCGCGCGGCTCTGATGTCCCCCCAGCGCCACTGGCAGGTCCTACTTATTTATTTTCCCTCTGTTGTTTCGATTTAGCTATCTTAATTTTCCCCAGCACTAAATAGCCATCAATGTGTCAATGTGCTTCTTTTTTACTCAAACGAAATAATTGGTTGCATGATTTGGGCATGTACCTTGCATGTACGTGAGTAAATAACCCGGTTCTGTATGGTTCAACTTGGTGTAATTTGGCAGGGTAAACAATTATGCGAAACGAAGTGACTATTCCCAGTGATACTGGGGATAGGTACAGAAACCATTCCCAGTGACGACGGAACTCTTTTGCGTTGAATAAATAGCCTTTGAATTTTCACTTCGAACTTCGAAACAAAATTGCGATGCAGATGGAAGTGGGCGCGAAGTTCTCCTCCTTCAAAGAGTTTGAAGAGAAATTTGCAGCTTTTCAAAAGATCAAGATTCTAGGCTTGGATACTATTCTAACGTGTACTGTAGACTCTCTTCTCACTTTTTTTTCAGTACTTTTGTTCTCTTCTTTTACTAGGACCTAGACTTGACCGTAGCCTAGATGCATCCAGATCTAGATCTAGAAGGAAGAAAAATCGGAAAGGTTTTCCTCCTGTCCTGTACCGTGGTCTCCAAAATCCGTATTAGATCAAGATCTACATGTACGTCTAGATCTAAATTACGACTGAATAACAAGCAAGCATAGAATGATCACTCCTTTCTTTAAAAAATATGTCTTCCACTCACACCATAATCTACTTTAGTTTAGTTAGATCTAGAATCTAGATCTACATTAGATATTATAGTCTAGTATTTAGTAACCCATCATCATCTTGCCCATGTAGATCAATGTGGGAACAATAGATCTAATGGGCCTGTACGTCTGTTCTCAGTGACACTGGGAGGGGAAAAAATCATGGCCTAGGCGTATTGCCAGTGCTTTCTGGGCCTATTCCCAGTATTACTGGGAATAGTTTCTGGGCCTAT